AACGGAGTCGTTGAATAATACTGCATTTTGTCTATTACACAATACCCTTAATTGTTCCATATATGACTTATTGCATTGAAATCTGGGGAACTACATCTAAAGCATACCCTAATCGGTTTTGATTTTACAAAAAACAGCAATAAGAATCATTAGTCAAAGTAGTTTTAGAGCTTCAACCAGTTCATTATTTGCTGAGTTACAAATACTAAAATCTGGCGGTCTAGACAATCCCAGTATTCTAAAATTCACAACACAAAGAAACTGTATAAACATGAAATGTTTACCAACAAATATCCAAACAAAATTGGAAAAAAGGAAAAAGTTGATATAACTTCAATGGATGTGAGATATTTACTTAACCAAGATTCAGGACCAAAGTGTTTCTGCATGGATTTGGTTTATGGAACAATCTGGAGTCGGAAAGGAAAGTCGCAAACTCAAATACAATGTTTAAAAAGATGGCTAAAAACAATATGATAAGAAAATGTAAGCAATAATCTTGATGTCTCTTTTGTCGTGTTTCTCCCTGTTTTGTACTGCAATGAATAGTAGAAGATGTTCCAAACACAGTAAATGAAGTATCTCTTTGTAAAGCCCTTTAACAGCAGATGATGCTGTGCTTTTCTGTGTGTGTGTGTGTGCGTGCGTGCGTGTGTTCGATGAAGATTTTTAAAGAATTTTGTTGCAGAATCCAATATCTAAAGCCGACTATTAAGGTCGATACGTTTTAGCAGCACATTGATTGTGAAAGACAACTGAACACTCACTGTGTGTGATATAAATTAAATAAGTCAATAAATCTCTTAATATTTATTTAACTTTAAATATAGAACAAACTCAAAACATTTTTAAAAAACGGTGTGTTGGGGTAGGGTTGTCACGGTAACCGGTATAGCGGTAAACCCCGGTAAAAAAGTTGACAATAAAAATAACCGTCCAGTTTTTAAAAAACTATATTATCTCGGTGGGTTTACCGTGGCCGCGGTTTCGGCGCGATGACCCTTACCAGCCACCGTCGCTTCAGCTGAAGTTCCCGCTGCGCGCACACGCACTTTTTAATTTGCAACGGCACCAAAACTTTGAAGCTGAAATAATGGCCGAAGGAGACGACGGCAGCGCCCAGGACATCCATCAGCCCTCAAAGAAGACTAAATCGGAAGTATGGGCATATTTGGGATTTCTGAAAAATGCTGAGGGACAGTTAATAGAAGACGGCTATCCCGTTTGCAGAACGTGCAGGAAACAAGTGTCTGCAGAAGGCAGCAACACTTCAAATCTCATGGCACATCTGCGTGACGATCACCCACGTCTCCACAGCCAGTGCAAGGTAAGATAACATCAGCATTTTAGCTTAAATGCATGACGTGAGGACTTTTGGCTGAGGGAGAATGCAACGAGTCACCATAGGCTGCAGCCGCAGCGTCCTCTGCCAGCATTTAAACCGTGTCACGGACACCCTGTTGCTGGATGAAGCATCTTATTTGTTGATGATGAAGAGAAATATACAATTAGTTCCTTGTCATGGATTTGTTTACTTATTCAATGCCATTTATACTTGAACATTTGGATTTGATTACATAGTGTAGTAGTTATTTTAGTAATTTGTTTAAAGTGGCTATTTATTTTCAATACATATTTTTTAAGGTTGACTTGTACAGTGCTCAAGTCAAGTGTGGACTGGAGTTTTAGATTTTCATTTTGATAATGAAGAAAACAAGTATATGAGAAAACAAGTGGTGTTTCTTTGATTTGTTTACATATTGTTTATGTTTTGAATGTTTGGATTTGTATAATTTAAACCTGCACTGACTACTGTAACATGTTCCAGAAAAATAAGCTATTTGTTCCTTTACTTGTGAAAAGTTGCACTTTTGCTAAGGCTTTGTGTTATTTTAGGTTTAATAAACACTGTTAAACCTTTTCAGAACTATTTCAGTTTGTGTAGAACAGGACTATCAATGCTTTCTGAACATATGCAACACCGTTTAAAAAAATACCGCGATAATACCGAAAACCGTGATAATTTTGGTCACAATAACCGTGAGGTTAAATTTTCATACCGTGACAACCCTATTTGGGGTCGTTCGGGTCCTTTCTTCAGTCTAGTAGCGGTGGCAGTTGGCCACACAGGTGCCTGATTTTTTTTTTCTTTTTTAAATCACCTTTTAAAAATAATTTCAGCCGATGGCCGATATAGAAAAAAATGTTATATATCGGCCCGATATCTCTAGACCTGAACTAACACATATAAAAACAAACAGCCCGTTCATCAGCTAGACCAGCGGTATCCAATAATAATGACAAAACTAAATGAGAAGTATTAAAACCCTCAGTTTCTATAATATGATAAAAGTAAAAGAAGCTCGACTACAAGGGAACCTCACTGGGAGCACACCTGTTGTGCCATCTGATCTCTTTCCTGAGTGTGTTTTCCTCCATGTAGCACGCTGTCGCTGACCTTTTCCTTTTTGTTGTCTCACGGCGAGCCGACACACATTAGGCCTGTTCTGTCTGCTTGATTCTATGCTACAGAGCAGGGTCAAAGGCAGCGTCCCTTCTCCCGCCGGCCACTTTCCTCTGTCTCATCCTCAGGGGAGAACCCATGAGCAAGCAACTAGAGCAATGAACTTTTCTAGGACAGTCTGCTTTGGAGGAGTGTGTAGAGTGTGTAGTGCTGCAGCAGTCACCAGAGAGCAGCATCCTAAAAGGATGCAACTCAAAGCTAGAATACATTGTGTTTATAATTTTTTGTTGAATGATGGGAAAAAAATGTATGTGTGGGCAAAAAAAGCATGGTGTATTATAATCCACTTCACAGATGTCATACATGTGTCAGAGCTGAACTATTAATTAAACACGTGCAACCAAGGGGTCTAAAACCCACACTCAACAGGAAGTGATGTCATCTGAGTCACCAGTGATCTATTGTACGTCGCTCTTATCAGTAATAAAACTAAAGGACAGGTAACGATCTGTTTTCCCACTGAAGTAAAATAAATGTTCTGTTTTCTTCCTTTTTGAAAGACAAAGAAACATGTTGTCCACCCCAACATGTCCTCAGTACTGCTGTCCCGTGTTTGACCTGAGACATCATACATGGTTCAGAGAGAGGGGGAAACTTTCATTACTGGCCTGTCCACTGAGACACAAAACCACAGGTGGCCCGGTGGACTAACCACACACTCGCAGAGACCGCACATGTGTTGTGGCCTCACGGAGACGTGCTGTGCTACAAAGACATCCCAAAGCTGCACCAACGATAGCGCTAAAGGCCTCGATGATGGTCTTGCAGTCCAGGGAAGACTCAGCGTAAGGTTTCATGAAAACCTTGTGAAAGTCATCACATAAAACGTCACGTGTAACAACATGTGACCATATTATGCATGCATGTACAGTGTGCTGTTAAGTGTGCAGGCCAGAGCCAACGGGCACGCTCACTGGCATGCTGAGCTCTTCAAGCGTGCATGCAACAAAAGCCAGAGGCCTGTGGGTGTTAAAATGTAAGGCAGGTGAATCTTTCAGCCCAACACTCCAGCGATCTTCCCCTTCCTTCAGACAGGATGCAGCACTAATCGTACCAGAAACCAGATCGGCCATCAGCAACCACGGCCTGTTTCTGATTTCCCTTCTGTCTGCTCCACGTGCCGAATGAAAGCTCAGCCAGTTTGTTATTGTTCATCCATTTTTTATCCTTCTATTTATAACTACAGAGGTTTGAATCAGGGGCACACAGAGAACAGGAGAGCAAGTGATGTGCTTTTAAAAAAATATATATATGTTTTTACATTTGTTAAGCTTTGTGAGCTCAACAAGATAACTCAGCCTACTGTAATTACAGGGAAACTGTGGTAACAGAAGTAAACCCGCATATGGGTCCAAGAAGGAAAAACAAACCCTTCTAAATGTGAAGCAAAAGCGCATTTTAACACATAACTTTCTAGCATTTCTTAATACTGGAAAAAAGCTGAGAAGCAAACAAACTTTTTCCCACAATGCTCTGCCTTAAGGTTACATTACATCCATGCAGGGAACTATCTTCTGCTGCTGGCATCTAAAAAACAACTGGGACCACCGAGGGACTCAAGCTTTGCTCAGGGGCCTTTTTTAGACCACTGACTCACATATCACAAAGGTTTTTCCAGCCACTTTTACAAACACAAATCGATGACCTTTCAAGATGCGGGCCCACTTATTACCACAAGACAGACACACCGCTTATGGCCTGGTCAGTGGAAAGTCATTCATTTAAAGATTTCCCCTGCGACTCATTTGATTGTTTGATAAAAATGTTGATTTCATACCACACATAGCTGCAGATTATTGTTGCTTATGATCAATGATTCTCCTCTGATCGGTCTGTAAAGTTCACAAACCAATCCACATTTAGACAAGACTTTTCCTTTGAGAAAAAACCATCTAAATATCACAGCTGTGTGTCACTGTGACATCATCAGCAACCACAACTGAACAACCACATGATTTGATTTATTTTTGTGGGGTTTAATCAAATCTGGTTATTGTCTGCTTACAGACTAGTTCTGCACGTGGATTGCTAAACAAAATTATTTTTGGAAAGGTTGTGGCACAGAAGTGTATTTGATGTGTATGCACATGAGGGAAAGACAACCACACCAGAAGTATTTACCTTTCTTTGCAGTCGCTTGCTTTTGCAGGTCAGAATTTATTGAAGGGACTCAGAAAACTACGTTTTATGTGTTTCACTTACAGAGGATTCTTGTAGCAGTTTTCCATGAGGGAAGCATCAATTTAAGGTCATGTAGCGCCTCCACTTCCGTTTATTGAATAGTAATTATCCATCCTTCTCGATGCAATACGAAAATGTGTGATGTTAGCTCATTAGCATGTTCTTCCTCCGCCTGGCACTGATTCTTAGGAATATTAACAACAACAAACCAGGCTAAAGCTGCCCCTAAAACAGCCTTGCTCCTCATAAGTCCGTGTTAACAACAAAACGCACGCTTTTAGGTGGATACAATTACCCTGAGTTCGTCCCTCTCAGCCTCCCAGCGGTATTTCTCGGCCTGGAAACGTCCCCATTCGTACTGGATGAAGTGCAGGATCCCGGGAAGCGTCATACCCGAGGAGTCCCCGTCCTGTGCCTCCCGAGGTTGCACAGACCCGGGAGCCGCCACGGCTGCTGCCGCTGCCGCAGCTACTGCTGCCATCGGACCAGCCGCGGCGGATGATGTCGTCTGGCCCGGTGCTGCTTTCGGCCCGTTTGGGTTGCGCCCCGCTCCGCTGCTGCTGCCGCCACCGCCTCCGGAGTTCGGGTTTGGTCCGCCGCCGGATCTGTCCGCCTCCATTTTAAACGTTCAACCTCTCGCCAGTACAAGGAGGTGGAAACGGGCAAGACCGATCAACAAAAATAATAATAAAAAAGAACCCCCTTCCCCTTTCTAGCCCACGGTTCTTCCCCAAAAGCGACCCTCTATTCTTCCTTTTCTCACACAGTAGAGTAAAATTACTATTCACTTGGTAAAATACTACACTTCCGCTATCAAACCTTCACAATAAAGCATAAATCTTGACACACTTTTCGAATATCTTGAATATTTTGTGGCCAGAGGAAAACATTACACAAATACTTTTGATTCGACAAAAACGAACAAATTGCACTAAAGTATAGCTATCTGGTATCATTGAATCAAAAACAATCACTAACGTTGTAATTGCGACTCTTATTTTTACTACTCTTACTTCCTCCTCCTTGTGTTCGCTTTACTGTCCAATGTAGTTGACAAATAAAGGGACGTGTATTCTCTAGTACACAATGAGCACGTCTTCTTGGAAGTTGATTTCCTGCCATTTTGTGAACAGGGGCGTTTGCAGATAGTAAAGTTTTATGTGTGTTTCACTACTGCTTCCGGTTCTTTATTTTGATAATTTCATTACATATTTTCCGAGGTAAAATTAAAAAGAAAACATTCACTGGGGAAAAAATATAAATTAAGATATTTTTCTTACTGTGACAAATTCAACAAATCTGGAGTCCTGTCATTTCACATGTGGAAGGTATTCAACCAATGTAATTGTATTTGTTTTTGTTTGTGTGTGTGTGTGGGGGGGGGGGGGATTTGTATTATTTAGTGAAATACTGCATTTTTAAGAGATGTTATCAGAAATTGGAGTTTTGAAGCCCACATGAGTCCTTTTGTTTCAGAATTAAAAATATTTGTTTTTATTTTGAAGGAAGATGACCGGAAAAGATTGTTGTTGCTCCGGGCAACAAACCAAAGTATGCTAGCAAATCGCTAAAATCATTCATCAGGCTTTCTCGTATAAACTAGCGTCTTATTGATTTGATATCCGCATTTAGTTGCCGCTTTATATTGGTGTTTTGGGAATTGTCAAAATATACATCACATTTGTACATATTTTAGCGGTTTAATATCCGTATTTGCTGCAGAGCTGGTGCACAACGGCATTTGTTACTACAGAGCTACACCTCTGAAAACTACTGCTTGACGATGGCTCCATGTCTTCAAAAGTCCATCTTCTATCGAATATGATCACATATTTTCAAACAAAAGTAAGTTATGGTAGAATTTACTATCTCGTTTTATTGACTGGTACTACAGTCGTTGGTTGATTTTACTGTACATCTTACTCTTTCAGGAGCATGCTTATGACTTTTCAGAATTTAGAGATTTGTCACTATAACATATTTAATTTGTGCCATAATAAATTAACATGATTTTAATGCATTATAACTGTTGCACATAAATATGAGTGTTTCTCTTTGTTTTGTTAGTTTGTCTCTAAATCCCATTCATCCACCTTCAAACCCATGGGGACCAGAGACCTGCCGCTGGATGCCTTTACTGATACGCAGTTTTTATTTCAAGCATCTCTGGACTAAATTCAGTTGCCATGCGCATCACCTTCTGCCAGACTCTGTTAACTGGTGCCATCATCGTCAACCTTCTAATTCTCTATTATGTATCCCGGGCCCAACAACAAATGATGGAGAAGAGGAAGGAGCTTGGCCATGGCACCAGGAGGGCCGCTCGGCCAGTCTCTGGACTTGGAGGAGGACTGGGATTTGTTGGAGGAGCCGGAGGTGAACATGAGGGACACAGTCGAAGCCCACGTGTCACTGTTCTTCTTCGGGAGTTTGAAAACTTTGAGAATTACGTAGGCGATGTGGCGAATTCCTTTCTTCATCAGCGACCAGAGCTTCCCTTCCTGGCTGTGACCGATGTGTTTCCATACCCTCCCCTTGTGCTTCCCGAGGGCACTCGGCTTCTAGTGCTCTCCCCCAGCCCAGAGCAACCACCGCAAGCTCACAGGCCAGAGTTTCACGTGCAGACGGAATTTGTGTTGCTGGTGCCTGATGGAGTGGAGCTGGAGCAGCCGCGAGTCATTGAGCGGCTGATCAGGGAGTTGGAAGGGGAAGGTGGAGGTCCTGTGAGGCTGGTAGCTGCACCGGTTCTAGCTCGATCTGCTGTGCAGTGTCTCCACTTGCGGGTGAACCTCAGAGAGTGGACAGCCACCTACTCACCCGCAGCATCTGGAAGCAGTGGGAGCGTGTGCACAGCTTTACAGGGGGATGCAGTTGTCCTAATGCACACCGAGGATCTTTTCAACCTCTCTGTCCCTCTGGGACGTCCCCTCTTCCCAGCTCTTTTTGTCCAGACCACATTAAGAGGTTGGAAGGTCAAACTGCTGGAAAGCCCTTGTTTCTCTGCAAGCCACAGGCCACTTTTCAGCTCTGCACACAACCAGTGGAAGGCTGACACCCGACTGAAAGAGGCCACGGCAAAGCTCATGAGAAGTTTTGGTCTGAAACGCCTCCTGTTGTCTGATGGGAAGGAGCAGTGGTATGGCTGCAGTAAAGAAACCCCTCGCTGCTTTGGAACCGTACTGGATGACACTCCAGACTATCTGTACCTGGACCGCTGGACACCTCCTTGCTGTCTGAGAGCTCTAAGAGAAACCACTAAGTACGTTATCAATGTCTTGGAGAGCTCTGGGGTCCGCTACTGGCTAGAGGGAGGTTCTCTGCTCGGTGCTGTTCGCCATCAAGACATCATTCCGTGGGATTACGATGTTGACCTGGGTATCTACCTGGAAGATGTGCCCAACTGTGATCACTTAAAGAACCTGGACTCAGGCTCTCTGGTGGATGCTAATGGCTACGTGTGGGAGCGGGCCGTAGAAGGAGACTTTTACAGAGTACAGTTCAGCGAGGCCAACCACCTGCATGTGGACCTGTGGCCGTTCTATTCGCGTAATGGCGTCATGACCAAAGACACGTGGACAGAGCACAAGCAAGATGTGGAGTTTCCAGAACATTTCCTGCAGCCGTTGGTCCCCATGCCTTTTGCAGGCATCACCGCCTTCGGCCCGAACAACCACAAAGCCTTCCTGGAGCTTAAGTTTGGGGAGGGGGTGATAGAGAACCCCCAGTATCCAAATCCAGCCAAAAAAAGGTTGGACAGAAGCAAATTATGAGTAAAAATTTATTTTTATTTATTAAAATAAACTAAGAAAATATTTCCTCAAAATGCATTTTCTTTCAAAAGTGTTGACAGACAAAGGTGCTGACCAACAATGCCAAAAGGATTTTTCTGTTCATGTTTCAGCAACATTTGGTCTGGTTTCTGTCTTTGACAGAGTGTTTGGGATGTAAAGTTTCAAATAAGAAACTGAAAGTGTACAGTAAAAGTATTACTACTAGAAAGATAAAGCATTAAAAACAAATTATGAGAACGATTTCTGTTAATGCTCTAAACCAGATCCTATTCAGCATATTTGAAGTGACGCATTGAGCTCCCGGTGTCTGGACAGTTTGAATGTAGTGAGTTAACTTTCATTAACGTGAATGGAATTGTGTGCAATATTAAATGAGCACACCAACTGGAATACACTGGGTTTAAAAAGTGAGTTTTAAAAAATAACCTACTTCCTCCTTTGCTGCAAGTTTTCTGCTGTGTTGATAGATGTGTGTTATGTATTAGCCTGTCTCTGCATTTCATGAAATTGAGAAATAAATAAATTGCAAAGTTATTTTTTTTATATGTTTTGATGACCTTGCGCTGCAAGATGAATTCTCGCGAGGTTTGGAGTTTTCCAAACTCAGGCAGGAGACTCATGAAAACCACCAGGTTTTCATGGCCGCCAGGTTACTGAGGGCCGGATAGCTTTTCATTATGACCACTAGATGGCACCATTCACAAACACATCCAGAAGTAAAGGACTGGAACACTACAGGAACCAAGTTTAATAATTTATCACAAACCTGTTTGGTGATGCGAAAGCATGTTGTGATCTCACGTTGTGAACATCTAGAGTTGTGTTTACATTCCTCGTGGCTGAGCTGGAACAATCCTCTCAGTTCTAGAATAGCAGGTGTGTTCAGTGGATTAACTATTCTCGTTTATCCTGAGATCATAATTCTTGTGGTTTCTGTTGATTAAGCAGTAATTATGTGTTCTTGTCACTTGTTCAAAAAATCCACACTTGTTCTTTTTTATGTACCAACTAACATTTTGAACCTTCACCGTCAACACTACCTGAAGCTTATATAGAAGGGAGCCATTCCACTTTTATTGTTCACCATTTCTCTGAGCGCTGAACAGAAGGATCTCAGAAAGGTTCTTGAACGTTTCTTACTTATGATCCTTTTTCTACTACAGAACTTGAAAACATCCATGTGACCATTTAGACGAATTTGCAGCAGTAAATGCTTCCCTGAGATTGTTCGCTGATGATTATCCTCCTGAGGTCGACTGGAAAAGCAGGCATTTCCAGAGGCGCTCACAATAATTAAGAGCTAATTACTATTTGATGAGCAACATCTGGCTGCTACTTAATCTCCTAATCATTCTGTAGGAAACCTTGCGTACTTTGTTTTTGCCTTTTTTTTAGCATTTGTGAAATAAATCACAATTTTATGTGTTGTGTACCTAAAGATGCACCTTCCTAGTTTTTATATCCAGTACATCACCTCCAGATGTCTACTGCTGGTTTAACAATCAAGCTAGATCAAGATTTTATACAAAAAGACTTTTTTATTTCTAAACATAACCCAGTTTTACATAATAGCCTCATTGTAAAAACTATGCAGCCATTAAAAGCAAATACAAATCATACGACTACAGCAGGCATCCACGTGTGAGATTTCAGAAAGGAACTTTAACATTTTTTTACAATTTTATGAAACTATTTGTAATTTTGCAGTTTTTCCACAAATTCACAGAAGAAATGATGAGACTAACAGATGGTCTTCAGAAATGGGACTATGAAGTGTTCATTTGTGGCAGGAAAAAAAAACAATTACTTCAGTGTACAAATTCAACAACCTGTTGAACAAAAAACGTTTAAATTAGAATCTGGAGCAAAGAAGGAAAAGAAAAACAAACATTGTCAGACGCCGTCCAGTTACGAGAAGATTTAAAAAAAAGGGAAATACATTTTTGGATTTACCAGCATGGCTAAAACCCTCTTTGGGACTTTTGATTAAAATAAATAAAACTCCCGACAAACTCAGTTCCAAGGCAGGACTGCAATCACAATCATGTGAACACAAACATGCAGTGGAAGTAATGTGACACTTGCATGACATTTACAGTATTTATAACACGTGTTATAGCATCACAATCATCACTGTGCCTTAAAACCTATTTATACCTTCTTTAAACATGGAGGCAACAACATGCACAAGGGAGATGACATAAAGCCATTTGGTGTCCAGAGTTCAGCCGTCTCCTTCATTCGGCTGACTGATTTTTGGTCTCAGCATTTAAAAACAGTTGAACAGGAGAAAGGTCAAACCTGAGGCCATGAGAATCCAAAGGCAGAAACCAGTCCTTCATTCATCCTTGAGCCAACAATGAGGCTATAATTTCATTTGGTGTCCTTTTGAGCAAAATAGCAGTACTGTTGCTGTTACTGTTTAACATGGGAAAGGCAGAGAACATTTAAAGAACCAAGAACACGCTAAAAAAACAACTTTCAACACACACACACACACACACCTGTCAAGTTAAATTAAAAATAAAAAAAAGGAAAAGAAAAAAAATCTAATCTTTGTGCTTTTTCTCCCCATAAATTTTTGATGGCCATTTTCATGCAGGTGTACGGCAAAAATGATAAAGTACATCTATGCGAGATTTGCATTTCACCAGGATAGGCATTATTGCACAGCCTAAGGATCTTATATATTAAAATCTGCATATGAGGCAACTACAAGCATTTAACTATTGAGAATCAACACCAAACAAATCAAAAATAGTTTGATGCTCTATAGTGCAGATATGATCGTGTACCTTTGGTTCTTACCAGCAAGACAATAAAATGTTCCACTTATACTAGAAACCAGATACTTTTACAGACCTTGCTGTAAAACTGCTACTTTCTTACTTCTCCAGCTACGCTTCTGTACTGCGTTTCAGAATTATGATGGTCAGAATAAACAATGGCACGAGTTGAATGCCTCAACAACCATCAGCAGCTGCACTTTCATACTAGTTTACTTTTGGGGGATTCTGATGAAGTCATTGGGTCCATCTTTACATCGGTGTTGTTTTTTAGAAAATAGATTTGGCTTTTCAACACTTGCTCGAATTACTGCATATGTGGCACTTTGAAAAGTGCAAAAACAAGCCCATTATCTGCTAGAAGAAAAAATAAATAACTACTTAAATGATTGGTCACAGGGTATTGGTCACATTTGATTAATAAAGAGCAAAAAAGCCATAGAACTGTATAAAAAGGATTTTATAAACACAATGGATCTATTGTACCTCGATTTATATCAGTTTCATGCTTGTTTCAGCTTAGAACTGCACTTTCATCTGCCCAAATGTACTTTTTTTTATGTGCATTTAGTTTAAATAGAACATTTAATGAAACCTGCATGAAAATAACTCATTTTGCCTAAAAACTTTTCTGAAAAATCTAACAATCCCACTTGCTTAAATTTCACAAGTAAGATCAGAACTGACAAAATTGTCACATAAAAGACTGAAACAAACAGAACCCGACCCATTTAGGTCCAGCAGATTCCGTATGTTGACTATGGAAGCCGTGGAGGAACCGAGCAAAACGGACTCTAAAGGGATTTTCATTAACATTTAAAGTCAGAAATGTCCATGATTTCTACGTCGTGTCAGAAGCAGTGACACAATTACCAAAGCTTTAAAAGCAGTTGAATTTATATTTCTATATACGGTATACTATATTTATTATTTAGTTAGTTAGTCTACACTAGCCACATGACAAAACCGTTAGGTGACTGAGGAACATCTGAGATAGATGTACACGACGATGTCACAGACATTCTGACTTTAAAGTTGATCCGGACCAACTCCATGCATAGAAATCTGTCTAATGTAGACCAACAGCTCCCTAGAAAGAGAACAACCCCCCATGGATGGTTTTTGAAAGATCCTGTATGATTTTAGCTGCCCTGCAGAAAAGTATCGTGTTCAGGGTGTTTCATCTGCGTTGTAGCGCGCACGTCCGTCCTCTCGACCTTACACTCTTCTCTCCAAGGCAGAAAAGGAAAGTGGGGGCTTGAACCTTAGGTTTCAGCTTACAGAAGTGTCAGATCCGTCTAGAAAGTCATTGATTGTTTCATTAGCACGATTACATGGCTGATTCCTTATCCTGGGAATGAACCACCTTAGCACGTTCTGAACTGTCCTCCAAACCTCGTTTGTCTATGAGCGGTGATTGCTCAGGGATGGCAGCAGACGAATCCATCCTGACATCGCTCAGCTCCACTTCTCCTTCGTGTTTGGCGTTGCGGTCCACGTAGAACTGCAGGAGTCCAGCTCCAAACGCATCGCCCTCCACGTTCAGCACAGTGCAGGTACGATCACTAAACAAAGGCACAGCACAGGAAAAGCTTTTACTTTAATGACATTAGGGCATGAAATGTTGGGTTCATATTTGCCACACTTTGAGATGGTCATCATTCTGTGCAGCCACATAAAGTACTCACACGACCCAGTCAACAGCCAGGATGAGAGAGATGTCAGTGGTTGGTAGTCCTATCGCCTCCAGGATGATGGCTAATGTCAGCACCCCACCTGCTGGAATACCGGCCGCTCCAACACTGGACGCTGTTGCCGTCACACTGAGGAGAACAAAGGAGACATTGGTGTGAGAAAAAAACTTAATAAAGTCTTTTCAACATAACACTCAAATGCATTCTTTATTACAATACCCAACTTTCTTCATCCAAAAGGAAAACTATTAAATATGAAGGACTTTGATTCCAGCTTTTGGCTCTAAGCACTTTATCCAAATCCGGTTGTGTAACTGGGGACGTGCTGCTGAGGCCTTTAGGACTTACAGGATGGTTATGACTTGGATGAAGTTGAGCCTTGTGTCATTCAGCTGGGCAATAAAAACCGCAGCCACACACTGAAAGAGAGCGGCTCCGTCCATGTTGACCGTTGCACCGATGGGCAGGATGAAGCGGCTGATGTGCTTGGAAACGCCGTTTTTCTCCTCCACGCACTTCATCATGAGGGGCAGCGTGGCAGAGCTGAGAAACAGGAAAAAGGCAGGGTGAGTGCATGAGGGCAGAAGGTATGCAGAGTGTGTGTGTGTGTGTTTTAGACAGGGAAGCTCAGTGCGTGATATTTAACAGCCACACTAAGTAAATAAGTATTGGAGGGAGAGTGAGATAAAGCAACAGCAGTCAGTCGATTACCTGGAGCTTGTTCCGAAAGCAGTTGCCAGCGCTGTGAAGATCCCCCACAGGAAGGTGTACGGGTTCTTCCTCGTGAAGAGGAAGTAGATGGCCGGCAGCACCAGTAAGCCGTGGATGGCGTGGCCAATAATGCAGCAGGCTATGTATTTTCCCAAACTGGCAAATAGTTTGCCAACGTCATCCATTTCCACAATCTTACCGGCAACAAGGAACATGATACCAAAAGGGGCGTACCTGCAGACCGATGGGAGAAAACAGGACAAAGCTATAGGTCATGTTACAAGAACACAGCACAAAAGAGAAACCTCTCACTGACGAGACAGGCTTTACACGTTCAGATCCCAGGATTTATTTGAGAAAAACACTCAATGTTGACTTGCACTTTGAGATGCTGCCTCCCTTACCACATGATCCAGGAGACCAGCACCATGGTGGCCTCGTTGAAGGAGTTGAAGAACTTGATCAGGATTTCTCCTTCCTCACCCAGCTTCCTCAACGCAATACCAAACACAATGGCAAACACCACCAGACCGAGAATATTCATGCCATCTTGGTCTGTTCCAGTGGGCACCTGACGGCCAAACAAACAAACCATCCATCCATCAGTAAAGAAGCAGTCGCATAATAGTTGCATCAAAACGGGGGGAAAAATCTGCTTTTTCTCACCTTCTCCACTGTGAAGTTAAGGTTCCCGTCTGTGCCGTTCATTTTAACCAGCTTGTAGGAGGTGGCATACTAGTTTCAAAGTAAAAGTTTGTTGATTAAAATCACCCAAATAAATCTAACCACACCAAACATACATCACAGACACCGACATGGAAACGAGTTCAGACTCACCGACTGAAAGGCAGCAGACACCAGGTTGGAAGGGAAGATGTTTCTGTGGACAAAAGAAAAAATATATATTTTGAGTTATAAAAGTTCAAAAATTAAGTTCAAAAATTTACCAAATCACATGGTTGATCATGAAGAAAAAGCAGGAAGAAAAAAATATTGAACCATAAATCCCCTTCTTGCCCCTTTTACCCCATGTGACGAGGTTAATGGTGCTCTGCTAACAAAAGCTGCTACATACGTTAAGTCTGACGGCAAATGAACCCACACACGAACTCGTAGAACTTTGCAAAGTTAATACCTCTTTGCTTGGTTTTAGAGCAATAAGGCATTAACTTATTAAAGCTCTTTACAGTCAAGCAATGCTGTTCATTAGAAACATGAGGCTCAAATATCATGTGACGAGGCAGGGAGCAGCTGGCTGGACCTCAGGTTGGAGCATAAACGTCGGCCAAGCTTTACTAGAATATCTGGATTGATTTTTTTTCTTTTATTGCAAACACACTGCAGCCCTTATACACAGGATAAGCCACATTTATGGCAGATTTCGCACACACTTAACCAGAACTCACACCTGAACACTCACTTCCCTTTTATGGTAGGTCAGAAACTTTGTTCTAATAAAGTCCTAAGTGTTTATGTTTATGTATTTAGCAGACGCTTTTGTCCAAAGCGACTTACAAGAGTGGTGGTTGGTGTGGTTAGATTTACTTGGGTGGTTTTAATCAACAAACTTTTACTTTGAAACTAGTATGCCACCTCCTACAAATACCACGTTTCCATTCATTCTTGCTATTTTACTGCTTTGTTTTAAAACTCGTCACTGTTCAATGAAAGTATCCGGCACAAAACCTTCACACGTAACCCAGTTATGTAAATGCGGGCAAACACAATATTGTTGTTGTCATGCCAACAGCTGACACAAACACATGCACACACCAGTGTGAAAGTATGTCCATTTTTGTTTGTATTTATCTACTCTGGCATATTTGTGGAGGAACTAAACATCTGGAGCGGGTCAAGGTGAAATTACTTAAGACTTCACATCCAGCGATGATTGTTTTAGAGGATTGGTGGGGGAAAAAGAGAATAACAAGAAAAGTAAACTGAAACAAACAGATGCCACCTGCCACCTTTGAGCCAAACTGAAATTTAGTCAACAAATCAACAGGTGGCAGATCGTGGCCAGACACCAGCTGGGAATGTTGACATTTGTTTTATGTGGGAAACAAACACACAGGAGATAAGACAAGTCAACACGGATGTGAAGAAGTGCCTGCAAATAGTGAAAATATTCCACGTCTATCTGACCCGACACGCAGGGTTGCTGCTTTTAAGAGTGTGACCCCTGAACGATGACAGATACAATATTTAATTTAGTTTAACGCAGCATGTTCCTCTCAGGGCTCACTAAAACATTAAAGCAAGCGCTAATGAGAGACCGGCTGCATGGTTAGGATAATAAGAAAACCTGGGTTGTAGCATGTGTGCAACACAAGATAACACTGCTGTGGAGGCCAGCTGAATCAAAACCAAAATGGAGCTTAAAGCAAGGTTAGAAAACACATTAATGTGTTCATATTTTACAAAAAAAAAAAAAAACTGAGCTCAAAGCTTTTTTGGGTCACTTTCTATTATTTAAGTAACAACATGGTGAAATGGTGCACTTATGTTTTCTATTGACAGTAGATAAACTCAGCTTTAATAATTAGGAAACTGGTCAACAGTTAGCAAATCTGGTTTGAGACATACTTTTGCCCAGCCCTGTGAAACAATGCGTGTGTGTGCCCTGCATCAAGTTTTAACCACACCTTTAGTTATGATGGAGGAAAGACACCCCACCTGGTATTGTTTTCCATTTATAATGCATGACACTTAATACGGCGAAACAACTAAAAATATGGCTACAATGACAGGAATGCTTTTGTGCAGAGACTAAATCGTGTTAATGAAAATACCTTTTAAAATATCGTGTTTACAAATGATCATCTTAGCACAATGTGTCCCCATGTTAGGGACATGTTTCGAGGATAGAAGATGGAAAATCCATCCATTATTAATCAGAAGCAAAGTGAGAATTACAGAGTTGTAAACCTCCAGGTTTAATGGGAAAAGAGTTTGGCCTACACATGACAGGATTGCTTTTAGCATCTGATGTTCTCCATTTTTAGGTTTCTCAAATAGTCCAGGGTAAATAAAGTTGACCACCTTTAGCTGGAACAAATGGTCTGACTCAACTTCCTGTTGCTCCACCATGGAAGAGGTGGCGCATGGGTGTCCCTGTCCCATGGTGAACCTGGTGCATTTATATCAAGAAAACGGTGGAAAAGAGGACTTCAGTCAGTCTAAACAACAATCAGACAGTCTTTAGATCTTCACGTGAGTCTAAAAATAACCAGATAACACGTCCTAGTTTGGTCGGATCGTCATGTTTTATGGAACGGAAATCCTCTGACATCATTTCCAGGCGCTGCGCAGAAACGGAAAAGTTTATTCCGTCATACAGGAACATGTTCACAGTTTTAGAGAAGTTTATTTTTACCTATGGACAAGATTGGACCGTGACCACAAAAGTGTCCTGAAATAAAATTATTGCTGAATCACTGTATTTTGTCGGGGGTAACTACACTGGCACAACACCGGTGTTGTTCTGCTGAGGAACGAACCCACATGAGAGCAAGTTCAGCTGATGCAACAGCCGGTTCTCGTTACACAAAGGTACAGGGCGCCACATGTGGCTGTGTGTGAGCTGGTGGTGCAGTTTGATCACAAGTTCCACTCACCTGATCAAATCCAAGAAGGAGTCTATAACTTCTTTAGGAGGTGGCATATCTTCGCTCAACCCATCCATCTTCGGGGGTTTGTCGACGGCGCCTGGCTTGATTATAAAAGCCATCACGACACCGATCGATGATGCGATAAGCGTGGTGACCAGGAAGAAGAGCATGGCCCAGCCGCCAAGTTTCCCCAGTGCTTTGGGATCAATGCTGGCGGCTCCGGACACCAAACTGCACACAACCAGGGGGATGATGATCATCTTCAGGAGTCGAATGAGGATCTCCCCTGGGAACCCAATGTAAATCTCCTGCGTCTTTGTCAGTCCCACGTTGCGGACCCCAAGTCCAATAAATACACCGATGATGACGCCGGCCACGGTGAGAATCACCAGCAAGTTGGCCCGAACGATTCTGAGCACCCGTTCGGACAGCGACTCCCGGCCGGTCTTCTTGTGGATGCCCAGTCCATTAGCTAGGGGCTCGCCGTTCACTGCCTTCATATCAATATCTACCTTCTCAGCCATTACGCACGTTAAATAGTTACTTTTGTACTTATTTTACAATTAAAAGTACTTGTTTCAACAAGCTGTTTAAAGTAGTCAAAGGACTTTCTGTTACCTCCTTCCTCAAACTAGTTCAGACTCAGCTCTCAGAGCGGCGCGTGAGCTTCTTCATCTACCGGTAACGCAAGCCCCGCCCCCCGAGTTACGCAAAGACCCGCCCTCTCGAGGGAAAAGTCTGTTCCTGGTTAGTAAATTTGTGCTGTTCCTCCAGCTTTTGTTCCAGCATTCTCTTTTAAAATGTGTCAGAAAGTGCTACAGGTCTAAAGAATGTTGGTGTTTAGAGAAAAGGAATGTTAGTTTAGTTACTAATGTGTATTGCCACAGCATCCTGCTTGTCAAGTATGATGAAATAGTAGTAAACAATTGCATATCACCCCCCTCACTCTCTGAAACAGGCAAACAAATGGAGACAACATGGAAAAAAAATATCGGCTGTTAATATCGGCCCGGTTTTATTTATTGTACCGATACTGATATGTTAAAAAATGACCAACATCGGCCAATACCGATATTGATGCTGATATGTTGTCCAGCCCAAAAAAAAAAAAAAAATATATATATATATATAAGCCCAGGGCACACCAGAGATAGGTGCACTGCATCGCGCCCTCGCCCCAGGCTTCACTCCACTCCTTCCTGTTTGAAAAATGCAACAAATGCTATTATCTAGCAGACGAGAGGGTGGAGCCTCTAACAAATACACACCGCCTCGCAACAACATTGTGGCATCATAATGTACCAGCCAACGTCATAGTGCACCTCTTAAGCCTAATTTATAGTTTTCCGTCAGCTCCACCAGGGAGAGACACGCACGGACGGAGACGTTTTGCCCACTTACTTCTCCGTCTCCTATGGAGTGTTACAAAGCAGTTCCTCGCCAGGACAACAGAGGGCGTAGCGCTGTTCTGTGGTATTCTGTCATGTCAAGATAGTGTTTATATTGTGTTTTTTGTATTTAGGAGATTTTTTAACACAGGCAAATTTGTCCTTCATTCACCTTCACCTCTTCATGCACTCGCCACCTCTTAACCCACGTTTCCCGTCATTTGCGTCCATGAATATAATGCTTTCTGTGCATCTTTTCACTCCTCCAGTCACAGGGGAATAAAACATTCCTATTTTAGAGTTTTTCCACGAGCTATTTTTCTAGTTGCTCCGTGTCTGTCGCTATATCCTTGGCTCTTTTTGTTTTTAAGGGTGCAATGGCGGCACTGAAGACGACAGCGGCGTTCTCACCAATCGTAAGCTTACGTTCTCCATTTTGACGGGCGAATGTTTAGAAAAGAGAGCTCGACTCCGTCTGTCCTTGCGAGGGCTCTCCAGCAGGCTTGCAAGGTTGGATAATGGCGTTGCGTGGGTTCGTCTCGACACAGATGGAGAAGTATAAATTAGGCTTTAGCCAATAGCGACGGCAGATTTAAATTCAGTGTTCTTATTTGAAGACAACACAACACAGACAGTTTCAGGCAGAATATTTAAATTGTAAATAAGATGCACTAAAGTGCCAAATTATTGACTACACATGTCTACAGCCCAATTAGACACACTCATTTATATAGTTTATCAGCAAAACAGTTGATTTGGGGGTGACTTGCTCTTTAACCTGAAACAACTGGCATATATTGCATCATGTAGTGAAGAGTGCATCTGAAAAGATGCAAAAATGCAGCTGTGTCATGATTTGCAAAGGTTTCGAGCTAAATAAAAAGGAAATATATAAAAGGTAGGAAAAGTCCTAAATTAGGCTAAATCAAATACATTCTTTGACAGAATTAGCTTTTATCCAGAAAACTGCTAGATTTTGAGCCTCAGTGCTACACATTTAAATTGAGGCAGTCAGAAAATGGGCAATCGCTAATCTCTCAGATTACTTCCTTTTATTAGAGTGGCAGTGTAACTAGGGCACATTAACAGGGAAGCAGAGGTTGAGGTTTTGCTTCCACAGCTGTGTAGACTGCCTATGGACTTTGATGTGACCTCCCTCCTTTCTGTGCTTATTTGCTCTCCTCCTGAGTGCCAAACCAACATAAAAAGCTATCTTTTTTTGATGTAGCAACGATATCACAGGGCATTGCATATAAGCATGAACTGGGTTTAAGGTTAAGAGGATATCATGTCCATTCCAACTGTCACCATGGCTTTGTAGAACCCTATATATTTTAATTAAGAGCATTTAAAAGAAAATCAGAATGATAAAAGATGTCAAGAATTAAAGTTTTAGATGAAAATGGTAGAAAAGGGTTTAAAGTTTCCATCAGATGATGGTTTCCTGGCTACTACTTTGCTATCTTTGGCGAGGCATTTGTTAAACTGTAAAATGAGACCTATTCTTAATGTGTGGGATACAGAGGCATACAGTCTGATATCTTAAAATTTGTTCACAGGGGTCTAAATCCTTCCTGGGTTAGCTTACACTCAACAATGATCTAGATCCCCTTTTTAAGTGTCCTGCTGGTAGAAACTGGTGGGAAAAGCACCTTTAACTCTAAAGAATGCCCACAGATCCAGAACTCAGGCTGGTAGGGAGCTGTCCTTGCAGGGCTCAGTTTGTTATGTCAGGCCTGTTCCTTTGTTCCTTCTGCCTGTGTGAATGATTGGAAAGAATCACCATGAAACGGGGCAGAACTCTGTGAGAAAGGACAACTTCAATGGCTAAAACCACAGGAACATGTCAGCTAGAAGAGTTTTCTCTAGAGTAGGCCCCATCTATAATAAACACACACTGCACACAGCCAGTGCACATGCTGTGGTTAGGAATTTTTGACTTAGTTTAGATTAAATTCAAATTTCTCTGACGCTTTAATGATTTTTTTATCCACTGCTATGGAATGTTTAAAGGTGTGGTTGACTGAAAAACAAACTTTTTTTTTTGTTTTTTCTGAATACAATCAGTCACTCAGATTTTTACATGCAGGCTGAACATGAAAATAGTCTCCTACACCTATTATTAGCTTCTGATAGAAAATATATGATGAAGCTCTGGGATTTGAAAATCCTCACAGATCTTTGTAAGTTAGCGTTCATGGACTCACCCATCTTGAATGCTGCAGGAATCAGCAGATAATGTCTGCGCTAGTTTAAGCTAACCATTAGCATTAGCAATTCACTACACAGCAGAAGCTCCTCCAAGGCTGAGTTATAAGTGGAGGGAAAACATCCACATTGCAAGTCAGTGGTAGAGTTGTGTTGCCATTAGCCAATCCGGGGCGAGATGTTCAAATATCAAGAAATAAGACTCCAAAACCTGCTTTCTGGAGCTTTTACGTTCGAGAAATGGTGCACCGGTGTATTTCTTCCCGTGAGAACGACTTGGAAAGCATTCATTCCTACTACAGATCACTGCAAATATACCGATTGAACAAGTCAGCCACCCCTTTAAACAAACTTTTGGACTTATGATCAACTAACTCTCAGCGTTACTTTGTTGTAAGGAAAATCACAATAAACCTGGAATAATGAAGCAGCCTCTTCTGATCTACAGTAAAGTAGTTATAACCAAGGTTACCGTTTGACATCTGTAAGATAAAAGAAAACAAGCAGGAAAACATGAAGAGGCAGGGGTGTTGATGTTATAGAGAAAATGCAAAAAGTGAATGTAAGAACCCTTTAAAGCCCATCTGATTGGGGAGACAAGCCCTTTTCTGTCTACTTTCTGCCATGTCATGAAAGTAGATCGAAATGCTCTATGAATGGTTTTCATTGACCTCTGGAACATTTTTCCATCCCATCCAATGGCTGTTATGTAAGAGGTTTTGATCAAATTCATCCAGGATTCTTCAGGAAGTAAAGTGCTGAGTCATTATGAAGGAGCACTTGTGAATGGAAATCAAAGAAGAGTTTCTATTAAAACTCAACTATAATGACACTTTTTGACCAACTTTTTCATGGAAAAAAGTACAGACGTTATCATTTTAAATATGAATCATACAGATGATTCTGGCTATTTTGATTCTGGTTTCTTGTGTTTATATAAACTTCTCCTGCACTCAGCAGTGCGGAATGATCCAGAGCTTGTGTTAGAAATAATGCTTAGTCATGCTAAGTTTTGACTGAGAAACTGCTTTAGGGATCAAATTGGAACGAAAACCGTCAACAAATTAATATTCCATATTTGTGTGTTTAATTTCCTTTTTTCCCATAGTGTGTGTGGGTTATCAATCCAACAGTAGGTGATAGAATGGCCTCTGAACCCTATTTGATCTCTTGGAATAATCTGCATCAAAGAAAGGCTTCCTGTAGTCAGTGGCGGATTTAGCAATTTGGGGGCCCAAGGCGAACACAGACATGGGGCCCCCTTACCCTAAATTTTCGACAATCTTATCTTTAACTGGATTTGCGAAACTCTCCTCTCTTCTGACATGAGTTATTTTCCCGTTTATTAGTCCTCCTTTTTTCTGTCTTTCTCTCCCTTTGAGTGCCTTCAATATTTGCTCTGCTTTCTTCTTCCTGTCAGTGCTCCTGTGCTTTTGCCTTTTTTTTCTATTTTCCATTTTGGTCTATGTTTTCCTCCCTTTACAAGTTTTCCATTGTCTTTTCTTTCTGCTTCCTTTTTATGTTTACATAGAAAAACAACGTCACTCTCAGAAGTGAAGATAAAAGCTATTTTAAAGCAAGCTGCTTCCTTCTTATTGCAGCCACTAGGATAACTCCATTTCATGCTTAATGTTTTGACCACTGCTTCGAGTTTGTTACGAACGCTCCCGCCTCTCTTCTTCTTCTTCTGCTTTCTCTTTTTCTTCTTCTTCTTCTTCTTATTTGTGGTCTTATGGCACTTGGCAAACAACAATTTGGTACATTACTGCCACCAACTGGATTGGAGTGGAATAACTACCAATCAGTTCCTGTTTGTGCATCGGCATCTTAAAGGAATAGTCCATTGTGGCATTAACAGAGGGGTGCCAGCAGTCAGGGCAAGGGGGCCCCCCAACATAAGGGGGCCCCAGGTGGCCGCCGACCTACGCCTAATGGTAAAACCGCCACTGCCTGTAGTTATTAAGAGATTTACACCATATTATCAGACTTGCATGTCCTGTCTATAAGCATTCTCTTTGCAATTAGAGCCTAGTTTTAATGAATGAGCCTCCTCTGTTATGGTTTTACTGCA